AAACAACAATCAGCCAGCATAAATGGAAGGAACCTGAGAGAAACAGCCTCCTTCACCTACCTGGGAAGCATCGTTTCAACTACAGGTGGAACTGAAGAGGATATCAAAGCCAGAATCGGAAAAGCAAGACAAGCTTCCATCACTCTTAAGTCTGTGTGGAAGTCAACAGCATTCAGCATAAAAAATAAGATCCGGATTTTCAACTCCAATGTGAAGTCAGTGCTACTCACCATACAGATCAGAGACTTGGCCAGCGCGTCATAAAGAGCATCTCCAACAAACTTCGGACCTTGATTAACAGTTGTCTTCACTCAATACTCAAGATCAGATGACCGGCCAGAAAGGATCAGCAACCAAGATCTCTGGGAGCGAACTAACCCAGCAGGAGCCGATTGTAAAACAAATAGGCAGGAAGAAATGGAGATAGACAGGCCATACTCTGAGGAAACAAACCATCAAGTGACATCACTAGACAAGCCATTGCTCGAGTGGAAACCGAAAAGGAAGGAAGTCAGTGCAAGAATGTCTTGGAGGAGGTCATGTGAGGAGGAGGTGAAAGCATGTGGACAGACTTGGAGCGGCGTGAAAAAGTTGTCAGAAAACAGAAGGCAATGGAGGAGCGCAGCTGAAGCCCTATGTTCCTCTAGGAATTGAATGATATAATTATAATAAGTAACCGAAATCCTGTACAGGGCGATAAATAAGATCTGAAAATAAGATGGTTATAGGATTAGTTCCTGACGAGTTGAAGATCATTGCTGAAAAGTCCTATTCTAGAATGAAAACGTTATTCAGTAATTTTACCTCTTTATAGTTTCTCTAAATAACGTCAGTTCACAAATAAATAAATGCCAAAAACAGTGCATGCTTCTGAAAGCCTCACAGTTGAATTTTAATTGTATTTTACATACCACTAGTTATTTATAGTAGGGAGGACTGCTACATTAAAGTTCAAATATCAATGAATTGTAAGCGCAAAATTACTAGTCAGTAGAACGGTAAGGGGAAAAAAATGAAATGTAAGTAGCGTTAAAAATAAGTCGAACTGAGTTTCAAACACGAAGTTTAGTGAAAATAGAAAGAGGGTATCTGGAATCAGAAAATCTTTCCGTGATAAAATGGACTAACTAAGCTTTTTTTATCACTATTTGCATGACAAGTAAATAAGATCTAGACAGTAATAATAATAATAATTTCCAAATGATGGTTTGCAAGGATCTAAAAATTAATCGAAGGCACACTGGTTCACCCGAAAACTGGTAGGACTTCTTGCGGTTATGATCAGAAGTGGTGACCAGCAGCGTACACCAAGTCAAGCCTGAGAACAAATACTCACCATGGTATCGGCTGACATTTGCGCTATAATTAGTGAATTGAGAAACGCAAGAAATTATGAGCCTCCGGCTTACGACCCATTGGCTGGATAGTCAAAGGTTCCACCTCTTAACCCGAAGGTCGTAGATTTGAACCCCAGTGGTCATGGATGCTTACTGCTGAATATCCTCAAGCCGGAGGCTTTTCGGTTCTCCAAGTGGTGTCAGTTTGTGATCTAACTTGTGCATTGGTGGCACAGCGGTTAGGACTCTCGCCGATCATGCACATGGTCCGGAGTTCGATTCTCTGCCGACGCACACCGAATATCTATGGTCGGTCTGCAAAATTTGGGCTACCGATATCACATTCTGAAAATTCCATACCTCTACCAAAAATACGGTGTGGAATCAAGCTGTAATCAAAAATTAAATAAAATAATAATAACAATAATTGAAAGCAGAAATAATGTTCTACAGGACTTGAGACTTTAGTTAGTTCGATTAGAATAGAGCACACAGTACATCACTGGATTTGACAGTTTTGGATAAGATACGCAGAGTTCCAAAGCTTACTTTAATATTTGTAAGGAAGATAGTTTCCCAGCACATTTTCCATTAGGAGAACGCTTAATTGGTTTTCAGTGATATCCCTGAGACTTTGCTAACTCATGTCCCTTCTTTAACTAGCACTTGTTTTTCTACTGATTCAGTCCCCGTATTTATTCTGAAAAACTGGTCAGGATGCTATCGTCCTAATAATATTCTGGGTCTTCTTTATTTTAGCACTTAACATTCTCTTACTATATAATTTCCCCTATTTATTCTGCAAAGGAAGAAAAATGAAAATTTGTAGTATAAAACAGTCTAATCTTAAATTCAAAAAGTCTTCATGAGTATTAAGCATTATAAAAAACAATTAGTAATATGCTCTAAAGACTGAGACATTGACAGAGGAGGTATTATAAGTTGGGGATTGAAAATTTTCTGTTGTGTTTTGACAAAGCAAAGTGGTCGAAGTAGGTTTATTAACCTATACATATAAACTTCGTTTTATGTGGCTTGTTCATACTTTTTTATCGTCATCTATTGTATTTCCTATAAAATGCCATAAGATGAAATTACTTTCTAAGTATTAACTTCATGCGTGAAAAAAGAAATATGGTTTTTGTTAATATAATGAGACAGTGAGTTTTTCATGTTAATATCTCTGTTAAATGTGCCATCCTGTGAACATTATGGCTATTATTATTACTATTCATTTGTTGCGTTATGGGTAGAACATAGAGATTCAGCAGCACACCTAAACTGCACTCATTTCACAACTATCACTTTCAAATGTATCCTCAAACGTCCACAAACTTCCGATTTCCCCTCCCTTGGTCTTCTCCATATCACCTTTGTATGTCTAAGCCGTCTCCTCCAATTCGGCTTCCACTAGAGGGCGGTGTTATATGACTTAATGGTCTTCTCAGAATATGTTCACTTCATCTGCATTTCTATTTATATATATGCTGGGCCATGGTTCTTCATCTGCCATAGTTCATGGTTACTTATCATTTCTAAACAGCCACCCGATTTTCAGTACTGAGACAAGGCAGCTGTTGCTGATTGTCTTTAGCAAGCAGCTGAAAATGCTTTTGATGACATCTGCGTCATGCTTCTGAATTTTATAAAAGCATTGACTTGACGTCAGTGTTGAAAATTCGGATATCGCTCCTTACGCTAAGTGAAGTGTAATGAAGCTCCATCTTGCTTTCCCGATTCTGACGGGTTTTAACACTATCATGTATCCTTCCTGTATTTGAAACTACGCTGCTCAGAAAAGTGAAGGAGGTAACTTCCTTGAGTTTCCACTAACTACTGGTGGTCGGTAACTGTTGCTGTTGTTAGTTAAGGTGTCTTCATTAGCTCTGTCTTCTCTATAGTCATCTGAATTCCTATCTTCGCTTATACTTGCGTCAATTTGTTAGTTTTCGCTTTTAAACTGTTAGGTTTGTGGGTCATGAGGCATAAACTGACTGCAAAATCTACATCCCCTACAGATTTTTGTGTGTCCACTGTATATCAGCCTTCTCACTCTTCACAGTCTGTTGCATGAAACGATGATAGTTGACGGTGTTACCTTATTCATTTTTTCACACTGTTGAAGGTCACTTCAAAGCTGATGATGTTTCATAGGGTTACCTTCTGATCCACGGACGAGTTGGGTTTCCCAGAATACAGACTGTGCTGGGCCAAGTCATCTAACCAGGGCATTTTTCAGTGTTTCTCGGATGATTCAGCTTAGTATTTTGCCACTTCTTTCAAAGTCTTAAGCTTCCCATCCTCAACAATTTGGCAGATTAGCCTTTCTTTGGGTCTTCAGGTGCATTTCATTACTTCCACATTGTGCGCATTATTGGCATGGATAACTCTGCTGGTGTTCCTAGACCTATTTTCAGTGCTTCCGGGAGGATTCCATTTTGGTCATATTGCTCTCCCAGATTTCGGTAAATTCATGGCCTTAACGACTTCTATTTTCTTTGGGATGTTAGTGTTCTACGTTACGATATTCAAACAATATATTACAATTTTTAAAGTAAATGCGTTATATAAAGTTACAGTTACTTGCAATTAAGTTTAAGTTCAACTTCCACAGTTTAAATTATAGGACCAAGCGATACGGCGAATAGGTAGGCTTGGATGATATTTTATTCCACTGCGGAAGGGATAACTGTGTATGCATTGGTATACAAGCAGTTGCAGAAAGTAAGAAGACGTAGCAACAACCAAGTGAGTTTATATTTCAACGTGACAAAAAGTTGTGTTGTTTTCACAAAGATGTTAATGAGAAAAATAGATTTACAAAATGTGTTATTTTTGTCATTTGACTGAAAAGTTCACAAAATCATCGCTCTAGGCTCTAAAAGTATCCTTGTGAAATATATCGTGTTGTTCACATATGTAAGGGAAGACCACCTCAAAGATTCTTCAGAAACCTATAGTCTTTAGGAAAGGACATAACATCTTTCTTGGGAAGAAAATGTCACATTTTTAGTGCGGTTCTTCATTTTTTCTTATGTCAGATGGTATGGAACGTGCTTTTATATTCGTGCATAGATCTCATTTACTTAACCACTGTAACTAGGAATTCGTGGGTTCTTTCCTTGGCAAACTTGTGTTTATACATAGATTCTTAATTCAGTCAATTACGACTGGAAGTCCAGTCTTTTCCTTATTTTAATTTTTCGAAATCTTATGAAAAAATTCATTTTCAAAAGCTCCCAAAGTCCAAGAATAATATATCGTATGTACAAAAATTTAAGTATGAAATTCAGTTGTATAGTTCGCCATTTCATGGAGCTTAATCCAATGGGAATGGTATAACCTGAAATATTCTCAAATTTCTGTTCAATTCTTGTTGGCTACCACGAGTGACCTTGACTGTAATCTGCTATTGGTTTACTTAACTACGGTTTTTACGTCGGTGAAAGTAATTTTGTTCATTTTCTTCTACTTATGCATCATGGAAAACAAACGTCAAATTGTTTGGTTGTATGCTAAGCAGAACTGTTCATTTCATGTCTGCTATTAATGAATAGGAAAGAATTTTACAGAATATAAATCTTTTTCAAAAATAACAAATTGTGCATTTTTCAATCTAACATTTTTCAACACCATAGTATTATTTTGTCTGATCCCCGTGTTATGATCTTCAATAAAGATCATCAAGGAGTATATACTCAAGTTAACTACAGTAATAATAATAATAGTAGTTATGGTGTACATCCAATCATTATTGATGATCAAACATTATCATATTTTGTAAAAGCTAATGGACTGAAAAGTGTAAATTGGACATCGTGGTTAGGCATTTCAGTTGTTTTATTTACAGTAACAATAACCTGGACGTTACACATTTGTATCATGGTGTCTGTCAGTAGAAATTTGATGGTAAAACATATCACATATTTTTATATCAGTTCAATTGGATTTGTTATCATGCTACATTCAGTGTTCAATTTCCCAATACATATCATAAGTGATATCTTTGGTGGGTTGCTGACAGTTTAATTTTTGGCTAATAATTAATAAATGTTAACAGAATTGTTATTATAAATCAGTCTATATGTTGATACTTTTTACTTTAGGACTGTATTTTCATTAAAACTGTAGGAATTATCAATTAAAAAATGTGTAAAATTGTAGATGAATTTCAACATACAGGCAAAGGGGTTTTCCAGTAGAGGCATATATCTTCAGATAAAGTCAATATTATTCATACTTCTGATGAAAACCACTAAGTGAACACAGAGACTCAACTTTCCCCTACTAATTATTTAGTCGTCATAAATGAATAAGTGTTGTGTAGGTGAAGAAATATATTTATAATCATGGATAGTACCGCACTACTAATTTCTCCAAGAGGTTTATTTTCTGTCAGCCTGTAGACAGAATTATAGTGATCAGTCTTTCACAGTGGTTCAGAATGGAAAGTTTTAGGCGAAACATGATAAGCGGCTAGGTAATGCAGTGTCAAATCATACTCTGGATAAAGAAAAATCCTATCCAGTTCTGTTTGTATACAGTCATTCTCGGGACACGGTGAATGCTGTGAAATCCTATAACCAATCAACCAAACCCCTTAAAAACCAACACTTGAATACCAATGAGATGCTCACTGGTGACTGGCCTTATTCAGGTAGGTAGTTACCTGGGGTTCCAGTGAGAAGTCGTGACCAGTATGGTGCAGCAGGTCGGGTGTGAGGACAAATACTCGCCGAAGACATTGGCTAGCGCTTGAGCTATATGGTGAATTGGCAGAAGTTAGAATTCATGGGCCATTGGATTGGGTCCCAGTGGCTTAATGGTATACGAACTCGCCTTATAACCAGACGGTCTTGGGTTTGAATCCTGGTGGATGCGTACTGATGAAGAGTCCTAAACTAGGACGAAACAGCTATCCAGTACTCCCAGGTTTTCCAATGGTTCTCTAACTAATGTCAGCTCATGATGAAATCCTATAGCTGTGAAGATTAGTTTTATTTGTTTGTTTTTGCTTAACACACTCATTATTTTATCAATCAATAATTCTCTATCATGTAATAATCGTTCTAGATTATTGTTTTGTTGCTTACCATCGCCTTATATAATTGGTCGTTATCTCATATTCGATGGGTTTGGGAACAGAAATCAGGTTCGTGTTGTATTATCTTTATACATCTTTCACACAGTCTAACTGTCAGAAGGTTTTGTGAATACATTATATGAAATCCTGAGGTAGATGAAACCAATATTAAACCATTGTCATTGGAAAAATATATTCGAATTAAGGGACTAACTGACTTCTGTTCTTTTACGAATAAGACTCGTACTTTCATTGCTCTGTTCCCGCTAACAGACATCATATAAATGAGTGAAGTGGTGATTAATGTCTTCCAGTGTCATGTACCTTGCTGAAACCGCGTTAAAACTGTTGTTTAACTTTACACTGGCATTTTCAAAAGTATTAGTTTGCCCTTTAATTAATGATGTAGAACTTGGATAAATGCTTGTAAGACATATATATTATTCAAGCACATATACATTCAACTTAATGTCATTTGGTTACTTGGATGTGAAGCAGTTGACTTACATACAGAAGTGGTTTGGTAGTCGAATACATTTGCAGACAAGAAAAACGTTGACATGTAGCATGAAATCAAGACACGTAGTATTTGACTTCTGGTTTTCAGACCCTAGACCAATAAGCAAGCCTTAGTTTCAAATGTTGTTGACACAGATTTAACTCTGTCATAACAGATTTGAAGTGTTTATTGATCGTCGTTATCTTTCACATTTGGAATGGTTTCATCAGCCTTGTTTTGATTATCCCTTGTCATATTTTCTCATAACCTTCCTGTCTTGTCTGAAAGTCCTATAATTTTAAATAAAGTATACATACGTCATGTTTGGGTTGATCTATATCAGTAAATCCTTGTTACAGAAGGTAGCTGGCCCATGATTAACCTGCTGCATTTAGAAACTTTCATGTCATTATGTAATGAGTTGTGCTGTTCAGAATGTAAATGAACTTAGAAGCATGCATATAAATGAACTGAATGCTAATATAATATGGATAAGCACTGGAATATTTTGATTGTTCTTCCATTTCCTTACACAACTGTCAGTCTACCTTATAATTTGTGTATGGATTCATATTGTTGTAAATAAAATTGTATTTCATATCATGTTTTTTTTGTAGGCCACCATATTCTATTGTTTGTTTGATTAACAAGAGTAATTTTGTCCCTAGAGGATGATAAATGATAAGTCAGTTTACTGAATTTGATTTCTGTTGACAGACAATTGAAATGAAACGATGAGTCTTTCGGTGTATCCACTTAGCAACCATTACCACCGGTTTCATTTAAAGATGTTATTTTTACAATTTTCACTAAGTTGATGAGTAGTCAAAAGACATTAAGGAGTTTCCATCGACACTTAGACGCTAACGGAGACAAGACTAACTGATATTAAAAAGTGAAACAAATCTGGGAATCTTTCAACATGAGCATTATCTTTCCTTTTTCATTCCTAGAGAATATTTAGCACTTTCTGTGTCTCAATAACTGATGATAGCACGTTGTAAATATTCAGAGGTAGATGAAAAATGCCCGTACAGTACAGCTATTACTTTTTAATGTTGAATAGATTCGCCTTTTAAGTTGTTTAGAAGCTTCCTAGAATTTTCGCTTTTGTTACTGGAAACATTCTCTCAAAAAGGTGATTAAAAACACTGCTAAAGACGTTAAAGAAGGGGATACATGGCCTTTGATCTTTTAAAGTTCTTTAGTTCATGATTTTAATAAAAATGTAACTAGAAATGAGACTTCAATAATTCTGGTCAACAAACATAGCCCAGCTGTAGTTGGAATACATAAAGGGCGTATGTGTACGCATGAAACACTATAACTGGTAGATAAGGCGAGAATAGCAGGAATAGTGAAACAAATAAGTCATAGGCATTTGTAAAACCTAGCGGAATAAATTACCCTTGCTTATCAGCTAATAGGCATTCTGTAATTGTTGTTAATAAACTAGAATTTATATAACAAATAAAAGTGAGCTGAGAAGAAAAGAATACCTGTATAGAGACATACATACATACATACGCACACACAAATCTACCGAAGGAAAAGAGTGATAGCTTTAGTTACATCAGGAAAAGGGAAATATAAATGAACGTGATTAGAATAAGTGGGTTGTCAAATAAGACAGGCGAAAATATGTCCCTAAGAGGAAGACGGAATAAGGGATATTCCGTCATTACTACAGAAAACGTAATTTGTTCTAAATGAAGAAGATAAGGATTATAATGATATTGATGATGATGATGATGATAATGACTATAATGGTCATTGTGATAAATGACTTTCACTGATGTTGCAAAACTTTTGAGGAAATTTTCTTTTTTGTAAAAAGTTATCAGCTTATGGAGCAAATGATATGGAGAAAAACGTAGGAAATACAGTTGATTTAAGGGCTACTTCTGAGAAATTCTTTATAGTGCTGTCGTTGAATATGCTGAAAAGAGAAGCGGCATATGACTAACCGTGAGACTAAATCGAGAAATTTTCAGATATGTTCTTAATTTCAGTTATTTCACTTCAGTTAAATGTGGTATACGGAGCCGTTTGAGAAGAAACTGATCTTTTTTGATGTACGACTTCCATAAGTCTTGAGGGTTTTGCTTAAATATTAATAAACTATTTGTATGAGAGATTTGAAATGTAACATTAATCTGTGCTCAAATATATAACATGCCAAGTAGGAGAGAACTGTAATTAATAAGATTACCTTTGTGGAGACTTTTGAAACATTTAAACATTCAGAGGGAGCAAGTATTTACATTCTTATCATTACTGTTATTATCCCGTTTAATTTTGAACAGAACATTAAGCTTCAACAGCACATCACCATCTCAGTCTGTTCTCTACGGAAATTTTAGCTGACTCCGCAATCGCACACAAAATTTCATATCTTCCTTAAACGATCTTCTCCATATCACTTTCGATCGTTCAAATCACCGTTCTCTACTCAAGTCCCATTTGAAAGCCTGGCACGTGATATCACTTAATAGTCACCTTATCGTATGTCCAGTTTACCTCCATTTCTTTCAGCATGTTTGTTGGGCGATAGATAGTTCACTGTGGCTTACCCTTTCTGATCGTCTGATCTAAAGTGCTGAGACAAGACACGTATCGATGAAATTCTTCAGTCTGTTGGAAAAGCTTATGGCTACCCGTCAAGTCTCTAAAGCTTACGGAAGTAGTGACTTGTATTAGTGTTGAAGATCTGAATCTTGTTCCTTGTACTGCAAGAAGCAGACTTCCATTTTGATTTTCGCGCCCTACCTTTGATATCCTTACTCATTCAGTCTGTAGTTAAACCGATGCTGTCTATATGAGTGAAAGAAGCACCCTCATTTAAATTATTCCAGTTAATTCTGATTGATGCTTTCTGCAGTTGTTATTTCGTGTTCGTAATGCACACCAATCGGTGACTTGAGCTAGAAATTGTTTTGTTTTACTTTTTCAGTATTAAGGATTTGGGACTGCCTAAATAGAAAATGTCCTCTCTGCTGTCGTATCAACATTCAAAGTATATTATTCTCGGTTTTTATAACCACTTAATTTTAAGTTGTCTGCAGCTTCTGAGAACCTGTGAAATATAATGGTATCGTTTCATACAGCAAACTGAGTATTTCTTACTTTATTGGGCATTTTGTGACTGAAATGCATATAGAGTTGCTGGTCAATAAGAACATAAGTTATTATGCTATGGAAGAGGTGTGACTACGGCTTTTTTTTCAGGTTTCACGTGAATTATAATCTGCGGTATAGCAGGATGGATGAAAAAAACAAAGAAATTAGATATTTTTAATGTTAATGTTATTAGTAACAATAATTAACAAGAAATAATTATGCCGTTTTGATGATTAAGGTTAAAAATACTGCATATCATTCAAACATGGTTTTCTAAAGGAAAGGATAGAGAAAGGGCGAGGATAAA